GACGCCACTGATTGGCCAACTGAATACAAAAAATATGTAATTTCTCGTCTTGACTACACTCCCTCTGTCCCACAATACTTGCGCAGTTTCCAGGAGGGGGGAATGACACGTCATTATATTCGCAAGTGATTTTCAAACTATAATGTCGTCTGCCATTATTCGAATTTCACGTGTTTCATTGATCCATGTGAAAGTGCGCGCCGAGTCCTGTCAAGCCATGTGCCAGCGAGGGAAAAATACAGCCAAACCATCACAAAAAGTGTTCGCAAAGTTTGTATACATTAAATCATATAAAAGCAGTGACCAACATTCGAAATGCAGGTCAACAAGCGTGACCTAACGAACGAAGACCGCGAGGCCATCCTTCGGGAGATTCTGCTCCAAAGCAGTACGAAATCGTTGGCTCGACTTCCGAAAGGCCTTGCGCAGTTGCTGGCAGAGAAGTACAACTGCCATGCCTCAACCATCCGGCGCGTATTCGCCCGAGCGAAGGAGCAAGGAGTTGCTGTGGGCAATATGAAGGTTTCCGTTGCGAGCAAAAAGCAAGGCCGCGTGGGTAGTAAGGCGGCATTCACCCCTCGGGTGGTGAAGGAAAAGATTTTGCGTGTTCCACTAGCCCAACGCACAACGCTTCGATCAATCTCGGAGCACACAGGTATATACATAGGATAGTTCAACAGTTTAAATCAATATCGTCGTAGGAATTAGCCGTGGATCACTCCATAGTTACCTCAAAATGGGTCTTTTTCGATCGCACTCAAATGCTATCCGCCCCAAATTAACCGAGGCCAAAAAGTACAGCCGCATGAAGTTCGCTTTCGATTTCGTTCGGGCGAGCATGGAATTTGACGACATGATGCACTACGTCCATTTGGACGAGAAATGGTTTTACCTTACAAAGACAACCCGCCGGTACTACCTCGTGTCCTGGGGAGACAGAACCACATAGAACGTGCAAGTCAAAGAGGTACATTACGAATTTTATGTTCCCAAGTGGCGCGGCCTCGGTTCGTCGACGCCACCGGAACTTGGTGGGACGGCAAGATCGGCACCTGGCCGTTCGTTGAATCCATTCCAGCACAGCGAAGCAGTGCAAA